CGCAGGAACTCGTCGATCCTTACTTCAAGTTTGGATTTGCTGGACGAGAAGTGAGCTGGTTTGTTAGGTGGTTGACTGGTTGGCTGGCTGGTGGGTTGGTTGGCTGGTGGGTTGGCTGGCTGGCATGTTCATTGGTTGTTTGGCCAGCAGACTGGTATGTTGGTTGATTAGTTGTAAGTTGATTGTTTAGCTGGTTGGCCAGTTGATTGTTCGGCTGGTTATCTAGTTGATTGTTTAGATGGTTGGTTAATTGATTGTTTGACTGGTTGATTGTTTAGCTGGTTGGCGGGCTAGTTGGCTTGTTGGTTTGTTGTTTGGCTTACTGGATGGTATATTGGTTGGTCAGTTGGTTTCTTTATGAATTTGGTTATGGCGAATTGTGATTTTAATACTACGAAAACTGCACATCACTACATGACGTCATTATCTTTAACGTTATCGTTTCTTTCAAAACCAAAAAATAGGTTGAATCGAAAGTTGTGTACACTTCATTCAGTCCTCAGTGGAATAGCGAACTGAGGCTCGGTTTATGGGTTTAGTATTGTTGTTGTTGTTGCTAATGCTGCTGTTGTTGTTGCTGCTGTTCTTGATGTTGTCGTTGCTGTTCTTGATGACGTTTTTGTTGATGATGACGTCATCTAGATGTTGTGGTTGTTGTTGATGGTGTTTTAATGTTCACCAATTTCGCTCCTTCGAATGTTGATGATAATGTTGAAGTGGATGCTGTTGTTGATGACGTCATGCTATAACGCCATTGTTTTTTTTTAAATTAATGAATTAATGTTTTCTGAGTTTTTTTTTAATATTCCAATTATTTTAAATGTTTTATTTCAGTTCCCATCTATGTGTGAAAAGTTGAAGCTCCAAATGTTTGATTGGTTGGGATGGTTTTATAATGCATTGTCATTCATCTAATCAACTAAATGTTTTTGGAAATTAATTCATTTTTCATGCATCTGTTTATCTGCCTCTTTATTTATCCATTTATCAATCCATCCATCCATCCATCCATCCATCCATCCATCCATCCATCCATCCATCCATCCATCCATCCATCCATCCATCCATCCATCCATTCATCCAATCATTTTATATTTTGCTATGAATGAATTCACTTATTTATTTATTCACGAATACATTCATCCGTCTTTAATTTCGTTCATACATTCATTGTTAAATTGTTTTATAATCATCCATTCACCCAATCATTAGTTCATCCATACATTCATTAACTCATCCATCTATCTGTTCATTCATTCATTCTTTCATTTCTCCATCAAATCACCCATCCATCTCATCCGTCAATCCATCCATCCGTCCAGGGATCGTTTCACGAAACACGACTGCATAGGAACCCTACACCTACTGACGTCTCAAATATCTCAAGTTGGGAATGAGGCTATATGCAAGGACGGTGAGTTATGATGACGATTACGGTGATGGTGATGATGAAGATGATGATGATGATGATAGCGGTGACGGTGAAGATGGTGAGGAAGATGATGATGCTGACGATGATGACGTTTGTAGTTGTGGTGATGATGTTTATACCGGTACTGGTAACGAGTGTGACCATTTTTGTGGTCACACCATGGTGATGGGGATCAAACCAAGAAGATGACGTCATTAATAGTGGAAAAATAAATAAAAACCATAGTATAATTAAGTTGCCATATTATCGTTGAGTAAAACTTTTGAGTATGTTTCTATTTTGATTTCTGCATGTCTAATCAAGTCTGACGGTAGTATAAACACTACAGAGTTTAGCATTTCTACCTGTTGTGAATGTTATAATAATCAGTGATGAACTAGTTATGCGGGTTGTCCGATCGTTTTAGTAGTAAAACTTTATCAATGTTGGTTTACGTGCGTGTCTGTATTTTGTTGTATTTTTTTTTTGTATTCAAGCTTTTATAATCTCATTTCTGTTCATTTTCTGAATTTTCTCTAGTAAAATTTAATAAATTGGTTAAAAATTGTAAAAAAAATTTTTGAAAGAAACAGATGCTATTAATTAAAAATAGACAATAGAAACACTTTTTTTAATTAAATAAAAGTATGTGTCAAATTGGTGTAAAGCAGGAGTGGGCAAACCACGAACCAAAAATAGGAGCCACAGACCTTAAAAAAATTCTTCCCCGGGTCGAAAAAATTTGCTATTTAAGTACATATGCGGCCCTTCAAAGCTCAAATAGTTCTCAATGCGGCCCTCACAGCAAAAAGTTTGCCCACCCCTGGTGTAAAGGTCAAAGCACCTGGTCTTTCTATTGTTATAAAAAGATAGAATATTATAAATAATAAAAATATATAATTTTAAAATTGAAAAATGTTAGACCTCGAGACTTCCGACCATACTATGCAAGGTTTAGTATGAAAAAATGCTTTAAAAGACGAAAAAAAATTTCTAATAACCTTCAGTATAACTAACACGTACATACCCATACATGAGTATGTTTGTGTTTGTGTGCCTATGAAACACAATTTAAATGTTACATATTCTAACATTTCATTTTCATTTCAAATTAATGAGAAGAATTCAGAGACGTGATTGTGATGTTAATATTGTTCATGTTAATTGTAATTGTGTAGTGAAGTTGTTTTCATTATTTATATTCTACTTTTTCTCTTTTTTCTTCTTCTTGTTTTTGTTTTTATTATTATTATTGTTATTATCATCATATTTATGTTAACGATCCAGTGCAGTAATTGATTTTTGTCTGAGCTGTTTGGTTTTTTTTATCAATTTTGTTTCTTATGTCGACTGCTGTATCAAACATTTTTTTATTATTTGATTGTTTTTGTTGTTTTTGTTGTTAATGACACAATTATCGTTGATTACGTCACATTTCCTATTTTTTTTACATAAAAAAATGTCATCAGACATCGTCAATAATGACCAATTTTATACTATACAACTCATGGAGTTTTGACACATTGTCCTTCGGTTTTTAAATTATCATTCCACATTTTCAGAACTCACACTGAAAAAATCTCATGTAGATATAGATGATAGCAACTTTTATTTTTATAGAATTTTCTAACCCATATTTCACTTTTGTATAATGAAAGACAACGGACTAATTTCCATTTACTGATACGAATTGCGCTGCGTTTATTTATTAAAATGAAAAAAATTGAGCAAAAAAGAAGAAAAAAAAATTTTTCTAAACTAATTTTAAGTTTTTTGTTGTCAGGTTAGTCAAAATGATTTAAAATCCAAAGATTTTTACCCACAAAGCTAGTCTCATCGAGTTATTTAAGTATGAAAATCTTTTCACAAATATATTTTATATTTCTTATTTTCATTTTCAGTTATTTATTTTTTTTTATATAAAATAAAAAAGAATTTTATAATGAGAAATATAAACTGTGATAAATGATCTATTAGATGCTGTCAACACAAGTTTTTACTATAGTTTAAGAGAACATTTTATGAGAAAATAGATAAACACTATTGGCCGTAGAGTAGTAGTGGAATATTTTCAATGAGTTTTTCAATTTCATTTTAACAAACTTTTAGGGATTTTTATGAAAATTTTAAATAAATTTTCACAATTTTATCTATGTTTGGTTGATTGAGTAGAAGATAAAGGTTCGTAGTAGTTATTTTTTTCAACTAGTTTTTTTTCTGTTTCATAGTTTTGTTGTAAATTTCTTTTTTGTTTTCAAGTTTTCCTCTTATGTTTGCATTTTTATTTAGTTTATAAAAACGTTATCTGACACAAACGTAATTTCTTTGTTTCAAGTTTTGTTTATTATGTTTTTGTTTCAATTTTTCATATTTTTACTCAATGCTTTTTTTCATCTGTTCATTTTTTTCCTAATTTTTTCAAACCTATTTAAATTTTTTTTAATTTTCTCGAAAGTTTCATTTTCTATTAACGGCTTGTTTAACTTTTTCAATAATTTGTTTTTTTTTTATTAGCATAAAATCTTAGAACATTTTCTCATATTTTGAATAATGATATAATGGACTGAGTGAACAAGAAATGAATGAGACGATGAATGAATGAATAGATAGTTGATTGCAATCACCTAATTTTTCATGAATATCGAATGATTGCATGAGTTGATGAAAAAACGACCGATTCTTTATTAACTCAATTAAAGATGTAATTAATCATTTTCCTAATTGGTAAAAGATGTAATTAATCACTTCTTACAAATAACTTGATTATACAGGCTACCTGCCGATGTTTGGACCATGCTTCGTTAACTTCTACGGCTCTCCAAGGGAATTTTCCGACCTACCTACGGAATTTGATGAACTCAATAGTGGAAAGGTTAAGAAATTAAACTAAATCATTCATTCATTCATTTAATTATTTATTTATTTATTCATTCATTTATTCATTCCTTAATGCAGTAAGTAGCTATCAATCACTCAGCCAAACAACAAGACAACCGACCAACCAAACTCTACTCAATCAATCAATCAACCAATCAATCAATCAACTAATCAATCAACCAACCATCAGGGTGTGGGTGTGGCCTATAGAGGACGTGTGATGATCGAACTTCAAACAGTTCTGGGCGAGCTACCCCTTACCCCCATTGAAGATCTCACCAATGAAGATATCATGAAGGCCCAGGTAGATTACAACGAGGAGTTTTTAAAATACATTGTAGAAAACTTTATCACTAGTTTGATTGTTTATTAATTACTAGTCATATTATCACCTAATGATGAATACTTGCTGTTGTAGAAGTAGAAGTAGTAGCAGTGACAGCAGCTGCAGTCAGCAGTAGTATTAAAATTAGTTCTAGTCGTAATAGTAGTTGATGCTGTTGATCAATGCTACCCTCCTTAGAATCACCATCACCGTCATCATCACAATTTTCACCAGAAATTCATGCGTAGACGAAAGTTCAAACTACACTCGACCTTTCTGGACGCCACGATGATCAGTATAAACGACTCGCCAGTGGAGTTCGAGGTGAGTATCGGCAACTACGGAAACAGGTTGGATGAGTTCCTTCCGCCTTCGGTTTGCTCCACACAACCTACTAATCCTGTTTTTGATGGTTGGTGTGTGTTGTTTGTGTGTTGTTTGTGTGTTGTTTGTGTGCGTGTTGTTTGTATGTGTGTGTATTTGTGTGTGTGTGTTGTTTGTGTGTGTTTGTGTTGTTTTTGTGTGTGCTGTTTTTGTGTGTGTTGTGTAGTGTGTGTGTGTGTTGTTTGTGTGTTTGTGTAGTGCGTGTGTGTAGTAGTGTGTATGTGTGTGTGTGTGTGTGTGTGTTGTGTGTGTAGGGTGTGTGTGTGTGTGTAAATGTCTCAGTTTATTTGTGTGCTAGTTTGTTTGTGTGTGCGTGTGTGTTTGTGTGTGGGGTGTGTAGATGTTTCAGTTTATTTGTGTGTTTACTTGTTTGTGTGTGTGTGTGTGTGTGTGTGTGTGTGTGTGTGTGTGTGTGTGTGTGTGTGTTTAACAACCATGTTTTTAAATGATTATAATTTTATAAATAAATAGGTACACTTACTATGAAGAAATTAATTTTTGATTGAGAAATAAGAAAAATGTCGATATTAATGAAAATGTTCTTTGTTTGACCGCCAGGCTGCTTCTACTACTACCTGCCATGGGCAGACGCAAAACCCTGCGTGGTCATCGAAAGCCACTGGGAAGATGTTATCTGGAGGCTGGAGGCTCTCAATCTCATCATCAACATCACCGATAACTTTGTTGGTTGAGTTGTTCTTGAGTTGATTGGTGGTTAAATGGTTGTCTGGACGGTTGATTAGACGATTGATTGATTGTTTGGTTGTTGAATTAGTTGAAACTTTCACGAAAGTCAATTAACTGGCTTTATACGTGATTGATTTTTGTAGTTGTCTGTCGTGTTTTTTAACTTTCTTAGCTAGTTTTATGTTGTGTTTTCAATTAATTAGTTAATTAGAATGTTAAATGAATGTTGATGGAGCAAATTGTTAATTTATCAATTTTTCGAAACTTTTTTCTCTTTCAAGGAATCTCAAATGAATAACATCAGACTTGCACAGAAGGGCAATGTTGGGCTTACCGAACTAGCGATGAGTGTTATTAAGATACTTGACGATATCATCTCGGAGTGCCAGTACAAAAATTTTGTTTCATTCATTCATTCATTCATTCATTCATTCATTCATTCATTCATTCATTCATTCATTCATTCATTCATTCATTCATTCATTCATTCATTCATTCATTCATTCATTCATTCATTCATTCATTCATTCATTCATTCATTCATTCATTCATTCATTCATTCATTCATTCATTCATTCATTCATTCATTCATTCATTCATTCATTCATTCATTCATTCATTCATTCATTCATTCATTCATTCATTCATTCATTCATTCATTCATTCATTCATTCATTCATTCATTCATTCATGGATTGACTGAATTGTTGATAAATTAATTAATTCCTTCAATTAATGTTGGATAATTTCATTGAATAACTATACTTTATTAATAATTCTAATTCTATCAAATTTTACAAACAATATTTTATCGTTTATTAATTTAATTTTTCTTTCGATTGAGCATTTCTTGTTTGCCCAACTTGCTAATCAAATTTATTTAATTCATTCATTTTCATTTTCTGAATAAAACGAAATTTGTTGAAACATCTGGCAACCTTTTCTTGATTATCTCCACACGGCACACAAACGCGCAAACGTTTCGCCACAAAATTTTTTCCAAAATCAGAAAGCCTCTACCGGAGCCGAATCCAGAGTGTCAGACGAGCAATATTCTGGACCGAAATTTATCCGAATACCGAAAAGCAGTTCTGGCGAATATTGTGAAGGAGGCAAAGAAGTTGCGGGAAGAAGCAACTGACATTGACGAATCGCTGAATGAGGTCGATGGTCTCAT